GTGGATAGAAAGTGATGCTCCCAAGCCAAAGGCTGGTGATTTTGATCTGCAGTCCTCAGGACTGGGTTTAATTGGTTTTGGTCAAATATTCTTCTAAATGGTATAGCACTAGTCTGTACAGAGGTACCTCATTGTTGCTGTGATGCTAAACACTGTGATACTGATGTGTCAAATGCAGTAATGGTTACCCATGGCAGACAGGGTTTGGTGGATCTCCCAGACTAAAATAAACTTGGAAGCAAAAGTGGCATCTGCTTCCAAAATAGTTTGCCTCCAGAACTCTATGACCTTAGAGAGATGATGACAGTTGTACAGGTGTTCAGGTCTTTCGTTCATAGGGTCACTACGAGTTGTCTATGACTCAGTATCACATAACAACAACAGCAACAACAACTTGGAGGTCAGAGAAAGGGAGGAAGACCTTCAACAACTGGATTGACAAAGTGACTACCACCAGACTGTGTGTGGGCGGTGCAGGGTTGAGATCTGTTGTTCATAGGGTCACTACGAGCTGTAGTGGACTAAGTGGTAGCTTAACAAGTTTAGCTTTTACTTGTTTGTTGATTTATTTATCTTGTGACTCTATCACTGGATACATATATCATTACATCTTCTTGTTCAATTGACCATTAATCATTATGGAATGGCTTCCTTGCCTCTTTTGCTGGTTCTTTTAAGTTTGTGTTATAACAAAATTAATATTATCATTCCTGTTCTTTTTAATTGTCATTTGCTTGATATATTTTTCCACCATTTGGTCTTTGTCCTTGTGCCCAAGGTGGTTCTTATAGATAGCATATCGATGGGTCATGCTTTCCTACCCATTCTGCTACTCTTTTCCTCGTGACTGTGCACTTAGTCCATTCACATTCACTTCAGTTATCAGTTAACTGTATACAATGAAGTCAGACCAGACTCAACTGACCCACTGCAGGTGTTCAGAGGCTGCAAAAAGGCACAGGAAGAGACCGTCCATCTTTCTGCAGTTGGTGAATTCGAACCGCGTTCCTTTTGGTTGGCAGTGCAAGTCCTCACCATTGAGCTAGGAGAGCTCGCTCAGTAGACATGATTTTATTGCTGTCATTTTGTGGCATTCTAAATACAGGATTTGCATGAGTATAATTAAGTATTCTGGGGTTCCCACCCTTCTTAGTGTAAGCCATAATTTGTGGTGATCATACAGTCAAACGCCTTTGTATGGGCAAAGCCACCGTTCTAGTATTCTCTGCTTTCAGCCCAAGATCAATCTAATGTTGTTGTTGTTGTTATGTGCCGTCGAGTCGCCTGCGACTCATAGAGACCCTGTGTACAACAGCCCTAAACCCTGCTCTATCCTGTGCCAATTGCACTGTCTGACACACCCATCCCGATTACCCCAGTCACTGAACCAATCCACCTCATAGAGGGTCTTCCCCTCCTGCACTGTCCCTCCACCTTACCAAGCATGATTGATGTCCCTCTCCAAGGACCCGTCTCTCCTTACAGTATATCCAAAGTATGTCAGACGAAGCCCCAGAATCCTTGCCTCCAAGGAGCAGCCTGGTTTAACCCTCTCCAGGATGAATCTGTTTGTTTTCTTGGCAGTCCATGGTACATTCAATACTCTTCTCCAGCACCACAGCTCAAAGGCATCAATTCTCCTTCTATCCTCCCTAGTCATTGTCCAACTCTCTGATGCATAACAAGTGATTGCAAAGACCATAGCCTGTATCAGACGCACCTTAGTCTCCAAAGTGACACCATTGCTCTTCAGTACCCTGGAGAGGTCCCTAACAGCAAACTTTCCCATCACAATACTTTTTTTATTTCCTGGCTACTGGTGCCAAGAGTGTTGACCATAGAGCCAAGCAGACTAATGTTGTTAACAATCTCAATCTCTTCACCATCCATCCTGACGCTGCCAATTGGTTCGGTGGTGAGAATCTTTGTCTTCTTGACACTGAGCCTCAATCCATACTGAAAGCTGCAGTCCTTGACCCTCTGCTGCAAGCATTTCAGGTCCTCCTCAATTTCAGCAAGCAGGGTTGTGTCATCTGCATAACACAGATTGTTAATAGATCTTCCACCAATCCTGACACCACACTTCTCATAGAGCCCAGCCTCTTGGATAATCTGTTCTGCATACAGGTTGAAAAGGTATGGAGATAGGACACATCCCTGGCGTACACCCTTCCCCATTTTGAACCATGCACTGTTTCCCTGCTCTATTCTAACAACTGCCTCTCGGTCCAAGTATAGGTTTCACATTAGAACAATCAAGTGTTCTGGGATTCCCATTCTTCTCAGAGTCAGCCACAGTTTGTTATGATCCACACAGTCAAATGCCTTTGCATAATCAATGAAACACAGATAGACATTCTTCTGATATTCCCCGCTTTCAGCCAAGATCCATCTAACATCAGCAACAATATCCACACTTGAGCCGTGCCTGTATGTGGTACCGCTCGGTAACTTGGCGATTCCTAGAGCTTCATCTCCCGTCTTCTGGCGGATGAGACAGAGGACAGAGGTGTGTGCACTTGTTTGCTGTTTGTAGGGACGACAGGGCAGCCTGGGCCAGTGGGGGCTGCAGGCCAGCAGGCGGAGCAGAGGCTTGTCTGTCACCCTTAGCCTCTCACGAAGCTGCGTGAGGTGTGTCCATGGCCTCATGGTGTCTGCTGTCAGATGGGATCAAGATAAAGGGAACCAAGACAGTAGGTAACACCCAAAAAACAGAGACAGGAGTGGACCGTAAAAGAACACAGAGAAACCAGGCTTGAGGGGTCCAAGGGGAAGAACGGAAAGACTGAAAAGAGGAACATGGGGCAAGAGTGGGGAGAGGGGGAAAGCGAAAGAGAAAACAGGAAAAAGCAAACAAGAAGCCACAGAAGCAAAATAAAAACAAAAATCCTTAATGCAAAAGGGAATAAAAGGACTAATAAAAAAGAGGGGCTTGGCGGGGTGGACGGAGCCCCTGCCTGGGGCCTTGTCACTGCTGTGGTGGGTGGAGAGGGGCACCTGACAGGCCAGCAGAATGTTGGCATAACCAGTCAGGTCAGGATCTGTACTCCTGAGAGGTGGCTGAGGGCCCCAGGCGATGCCAGGCCACGGGCAGCATCTTCCCGTCCAGGCAGCATCCAGGCGGGGCCCCCGGCCTAGGTCGGTTCAGCCAGCCCCGGAGGGATCTAGTCCGCCTGGCTAGTGACAGTGTCTCTGCCAGTGTAGGGGACGGATGTGGGCAGGGTAGCCAGTCAGCGATGACATGAAGTCAGCTGAACCCGGATGCCCAAGGAGAACACAATCTGTGGAGGGGGCCTCGCTCCTCATGTGTGAACTGTGTCAGCTGAGAATGCACGTGGGCGACCAGTGAGAGGCAGAGATCCCCGTCAGAGGCGGTGAGCCCACCGATCCAGGGGCTGGCTGCGGGCCGGGCACCACAGTCCATAGACCCAGAGCAAGTGCCCGGCTTCCAGGCCTGGCCTCAGGCAGAGGTGGGGACGGGGAGCCCTGCCCCCCTTCCATGTGCTGAGTGGTGGTCAGGAAAGTGAGCCTGAACTCGGGGAAGGTCACACTTTCCAGTCCCCTGCCAGACCCTGGGTGTAGCCCTGCAGGCCTTGGCCCCCCAGGCTCGCTCTCTGGCAGTTCCCACCCTGAGTGTCCGCCGGGAAGCCTCGGAGGTCTGCTCCCTGTCTCCGCACAGCCACACCCTGTCCAGCAGCCTCCAGGAGAGGTGGCTGCGCTGGGCCACGACAGGCCATGGCCCCTGTGTTTCCAGTTCAGGCAGCACCTCTGAGCCAGGGCCCTGGGCCTAACTGTGTGGATACCACATGCAGGAACCTCGACCTGATAAAGAGCGTGTCCCCCAAACCTAGTGGAGGCCCGGGGAGAGGGCGGGGTTGCTGTGAGGCCCTGGATTATAAACAGAGTGTCCCCCAAACCTAGTGGAGGCCCAGAGGAGAGGGTGCAGAGGTCCCTGTGAGGCTCTGGGACGTAAACGCCGCGTCCCCCCAATCTCTGCAGAGACACAGGGGAGGGGACGCAGGGGCCCCTGTGAGGCCCTGGGACGTAAACGCCACGTCCCCCCAATCTCTGCAGAGACACAGGGGAGAGGGCGCAGGGGCCCCTGTTAAGCCCTGGGACGTAAACGCCACATCGCCCCAAACTCCACTGGAGACACAGGGGAGAGGGCGCAGGGATCCCGGTTAGGCCCTGGGACGTAAACGCCACGTCCCCCCAAACTCCACGAGGCACAGGGGAGAGCGCAGGGTGGCAGCAAGAAGTCGCTGGAGCAGACTCGAGGTTCTTTCTGGGACTTTTATTTCTTTAAAATAATTCATACAAATGGTTACAGTCACAAACATGATTTTAACCAAAATACTGCTACCCTAACCACACCAGCAGGACGGCCTGGGGCAGGCGGCGCCGCCGTGGCCACCGCAGGGCAGCGTGGAGGGCGGGCAGGCGGCCTGCGGAGGAAGGCTGCCTTCCTCGTGCTTCGCGGCACTTACTTCATGTAGAATCGGGGGACTCATGCCAAAATCGGGGGGCGGGGGGAACAGCCTTTTCTTTTCTTTTACTAAATTATTCTAAAAATAAGACAAGCAGGTAGAAAAACAATGCACTGTGTGGCGTGGAAAGAAAACGGGGAGATTCATTGTCCTGAGAAGTTCGCCGCCTGCCTGGCCCCGGGGAGCACGGGGTGCACGTGCCGCGTGCGCTCGGGGCGCCCGGGTCTCGTTGTGTTGACAGCTAAGCAAACAAATCCTTTAATGTCTAGAAACTGTACACAGACAAGTACATTCATGATATAATTAACTACTAACTTCTTTTGCTTAACGAAGGTTGCGCAGGACAAGGACGTGAGCCAGTCCGGGGACGGGACGACTACAACGGGGACGAGGGGGGCTGCCGCTCGCCGCTCCCCACCTGCCGGGCCAGCCTCTGGGCGCCGGGGCCCCAGGGATGCTGCCGCCTCTGTGCCTCGGTCCGCGGCCTGAGCGGGGCAGACAGCTCTGCCCGGGCTACAACTGGTCACTAGCGTGGTCTCTATCCGCCTCGGGCTTGACAGTTTGGCCAGGAGAAGGGGCGTGGGGTGGGTGGGCCACGGGGGGCAGGCCGTGGGACAAGGACATGGCGCTGGGGACGATGCCTTCGACAGCGGCGGGGATGCCGGTGGGGGCCACGCCCACCACACCTGGGGGGTACCTGCTGGGAGAGGAGACAGGATCAGGTGAGAGCACCGCCTGGGCCAGGGCCGTGGCCTTGGGGGCTCGAAGCGCCTCCCCAGCAGGTGCTGGTGGGAAGGGGCGCCGGAGCACCCTGACCTGCGGGGTGCCACCAGGGCTTCGCCCACCACCTCTGTGGGGTCTGCTAGCCTGGCGGACTGGGTCACGCCTGCCCACCCGCCTCTCCGCCTGGCCTCGGTCACATGCCCAGCTACGCCTGGTCTTGCCCACCAGCCCCCACCTGGCACTGCTCAAACTTGTGCCCTCAGGTGTCTCTGCACCCCCACTGATCACAGAAGGCTGGGCGGGCCTCAGGAGGCCAGCCAGGCCCCAGAAGAGCAGGGGCCATTAATACTGCCACAGTCAGGGCTCCGGGGTCAGAGGTGACCTTCGGCTGTGGCCCAGGCACCAGGGACACCCAGAGGACAGGTCTTGTGGGGATGTGACACAGCCCACCACAGCCTCCCACTGCCCATCCTGACCCGAGGCACCTGACCCTGCCCCACAACCCATCACCAGACCCGACAGCCTTCCCACAGTCCTGCAGCCCCGATATGTACCATGCCCGGACCCCGGCCTCACCTGTAGGCAGCCCCATTGAGCTCGGGGTGCACCACGGCTGGGTCCATGCTGGCCCAGTGGGTGGCCGCCGTCAGGTGGTCTTTGTTGACACAGTTTTTCAGGCTGTCGGGGATCCGGCCTGGAGACGAGGGAGAGCAAGGCGGGTTAGGGTCACCCGGGCTGCAGCTGTCCATCCCCGCCCCCAGCCAGGGCTGCGCCTCCCGCCCTCAGGACTCCAGCATGGCACAGGTCCTCAGACGTGACGAAGCCCATGGTCGATGGCCAGCGTGGGGTCATCCCTGCAACAACCCCCAGCCAGACTCCTGCAGGCCTGCCCCACGAGCCCCGTGTGCTCCCACGTGGGTGCCAGGTGCTACCAGCCTGTGTCATCCCCGCTCTGACGACCTGAGGTGGGTCCAGCCTTCGCTCTGTGTCCCCAGTGCCAAGTGAGCTGATGGGATGTGGTCACTCCTGACGCTGGCCCTCTCAATCGCCTGTCCCACCACCAGCCCACCTGTGACAGCCCCTACCCACCTCCTACAGCCCACCTGTAGTACCTGTTCCTCCTGCTCACCCTTCTGTAACGGCTCCTACACCCCCACTCATGGCCCACCTGTGACAGCTCCCAAACTTTGCTCACCCGTTACCCCACACCTCACTCACCTGGGACACTACACCTCTGCTCACCTGTGACAAACCCCCACACCGCTGCTCACCTGTGACGACCCCTCACCTCCGCTCACCTGTGATGGCCCCGCACCTCTGCTCACCTGTGATGGCCCTCCGGATCTCCCGTGCTGCCTCCTCGCGCATCTCGATGGAGGCCTGCTCGCTGTACCACGCGGCATGCGGGGTACAGATCAGGTTGGGTGCATCCTTCAGGGGGCCCTGGCTGAAGCTGAGGATGGTGGGAGACAGAGTGACCCCACTGTGGCCTGGGAGTGGGGTCAGGGGTGTCTGGCTCCACTCACTTCTCATGTCCCTTCCCGTTTCTGCCTCAACAGACCAGCTTTAAGGTCAATCTTGAGACGCCCCATCTGCCCACCACCAGGATGGGAGTCTCGGGGGGGGGGAGACTCGGGCCGGGGCCTCCACCCCCACCGTCCAGGCACTGCTGTTCCTACACAGCTGCCGTGGGGCCTGCAGGCCACCTGAGTGGGAGCCTCCGTCAGACGGGGCTTGGGCTGAGGGCGGGGGTCTCCCCAGACGGCAGGCAACGAGTGGGGCACTTGGTTTGCCTAAGGCTTGTCTGCCTTTTGAAACCACGCAGGTGCTGGGGGACAGGCTGTAGCCGTCAGTTCCCAGCCACTCTGGAGAGCACCTGTCCCTGTCACAGTTCACGGACAAGAGGCATCCTCACCTATGCGGAGTACGACCTGCCAGGCCTGGCCGGGGGCAGTGCAGCAGGCAGCACACAAGCTGGCCAGCTGGGCCCTGAGTGCCCTAGCAGAGAGGTCTAGGGAACAGGATCCGTGGGTCGCCACCCCCCAGCCCTCTTCCTACCGGAGGCCATCTCTCGGAGGCCACCAGGTGCCCAAGGCTCACCTGAAGGGCTCAGACTCGTGCACGTCCAAGGCTGCGCCACGTATCCGCCCCTCCTTCAGGGCCTGCGCCAGGGCCTTCTCGTCTACCAGGCCGCCCCGAGCCGTGTTCACCAGGAACGCCCCTTGTCTCATCTGAAAACCAGTCCAAAGAGGCCCCACTCGCTCAGACAGGGCTCCTCCACGCAGACTCACGTGGCCAAGTCCCACCTGCCGGCCGTCATACATGGGCAGGGTGGCAGCAAAGCCACCCACAGGGCTCAGGGGGTCTGACAGAGTCAGGGACCACGCCAGCCAGGAAGACCAACATGATGGGGCCAACGTCCAGGGGTAGTCGACCTGTTCCCTGTGCTCCCCTCTCCCCCCAAGGCCTCTGGGCTGGTTCCTGAGGACCTCAGGACTGAGTACCCCCAAGACGCAGAGAGTTCAGACCCCAGCCGTCTCAGCTGGAGGGAATTCCTGGCACGTTCAGCACCTCTGTTCCGGGACCCCTTGCCAAGGCCCCCCTTGCTGTACATGGTGTCAAGAGAGGGCCTGGGTGCCCAGGACAAGCCTAGGACTGGGCCTAACCCTAACCCTGACCCACAACCAGTCAAGGTCACGGCTGCCAAGCCTGTGAGAGGTGAGAGGTATGTGCTCTGGTACACCCCCAAACAACCCCCCTCCTGGCACTTTCCCAGGATACACCCTGGACAGCCCCAAGAAGGAAGCCCCAGCACAGGTGAGGGGAACTTCATGTGGGGACTTGAGCTGAGAGCCCATGTCTTCACCTCCAGTAAAGCCCCTCCACCCAGCCCTATGACACAGGCAGGGGTTCTGTGTCCCATTCCCAGGAGGCCCCCAGCAGGGCTGTGTGGGGAAGATGGAGCATCACATCTACTCCCAGCCACCACGGCTGCACGCCTGCAGGTCCAAGGACAGCCCTGCTCAAGCAGCGTCCACATGTCCCAGGGCTGAAGCCCCGGATCTCTGCTGAACAAAGGTGAGCCGTGGTGGTGGGCACCTGACTTGGAGCAGGCATGTGTGTACACACAGAAGCACACACATACACATGTACGTATGAGCGCACACATCCCCAAGTTTGTACACACATGCGGATGGTAAATGCACGTGTGCACATACAATCCATGGTTCACATGGATAAACACAGAGTGTGGCCTGGTAAAACATGTACGTACCACATACAATCCACGGTTCACATGCATAAACAGCGTGGCCTCGCAAAGCATGTACGTACCACATACAATCCACGGTTCACATAGATAAACAGAGTGTGGCCTGGTAAAACATGTACGTACCACATACAATCCACGGTTCACATGGATAAACACAGAGTGTGGCCTGGTAAAACATGTA